TTAGGGTTTAGGGTTTAGGGTTTAGGGTTTAGGGTTTAGGGTTTAGGGTTTAGGGTAGCTATGGTAGCTCCAAGCCCTTCAAGGCCAGAGGCTGCAACCCCTCTCTCAAGCTCGCAGCCGGGTCACTTCCTCGCTGCCGGAGATGTTCACCCAGCTCCTGAGGTGCTTGGGGGTAGAGGGTTTAGGGTTTAGGGTTTAGGGTTTTAGGGTTTAGGGTTCAGGGTTTCGGGTTTCGGGTTTTCGGGTTTAGGGCGTAGGGTAACCTCAGTTCTTGAAATCCCATAGCAAGCCCAAGCCTGTAAACCCTGTTTGCACCCAAACCCTAAACCCCTAAACCCCTAAACCCTAAACCCTAAACCCTAAACCCCAAACCCTAAACCCTAAACCCTAAACCCTAAACCCTCCCTCATGTCGGCCCAGGAACTCCAAGACGCAGCGTCGGGCGTAGCGAAGGCGGCGCACGCTGCGACTGAGAGCCTGGCATGCTGTTTAAGTTTCTGATTCTGCTGATTTTGGGAGAAGAAAAGCTTAGGGTTAGGGCTTAGGGTTTAGGGTTTAGGGTTTAGGGCTTAGGGCTTAGGGTTTGGGGTTTGGGGTTTGGGGTTTGGGGTTTGGGGTTTGGGGTTTGGGGTTTAGGGTTTGGGGCTTAAAAGGCTTTCGGGCTTTAGGCTCAAGGCCTGAGGCTTCGCGGCTAGTTGGGGACGACGACTCACGGTTTTCTGGTATTGCGGTCAGGATTGTGGTCGCAGGGCTCAGGACTCTGATTTGGGGGTCCAGGGTTGAGGGGATTTTGGGCTTCAGGGTTTCAAGGGACTAAAGGAGGGACCAAGCTAAGGGACCTTCGGGGTCGTTTAGCGGTTAGTGGGGGCTTCTTCGGTATTTAGGGACTATGTAAGGTATACATGGGGGTTAGATAGGGGAATACCCCCTAAAGGGTTCAAGGCTTAGGGCAACCTTCTTGTCCTCTGGCGGCACCATGGGGCAGCGTGCCACGTTGAGCACGAGGCCCTGCAGCAGGCAGAGAATCCTTCAGCCCTGAACTCCGCAATTGTGTGGCCTTCGACCTGAAGCGCCCTATGCACCCTAAACCCTAAACCCTAAACCCTCTCTCTAAAACCTAACTTGCACAAGTCGTGAAAACCCCAAGATACCCCCCAAGAGTGTGTTCCACCCCATCTGCCTCCAAGGATGTCAGTCGTGGCAAGGCCTCGGACACCGTGGGGTCTAGGCTTTAGGGTTTAGGGTTTAGGGTCTTTTTTTGTGTTTGGGGTTTAGGGCTTAGGGCTTAGGGCTTAGGGCTTAGGGCTTAGGGTTTAGGGTTTAGGGTTTAGGGTTTAGGGTTTAGGGTTTAGGGTTTAGGGTTTAGGGTTTAGGGTTTAGGGTTTAGGGTTTAGGGTTTAGGGTTTAGGGTTTAGGGTTTAGGGTTTAGCTCGGGATGTAGGGTTTCTGGCAGACCGGAGTCGCAAAATTAGAGGGTTTCGGGTTTCGTCGCTAAGGCTTCAGGGCGTAGGATTTAGGATTTAGGATTTAGGGTTTAGGGTTTAGGGTTTCGGGTTTAGGGAGATCATCATGGAAAGAACTGCCCACGCAGAGGCTTTAGCGTTTCTCCTTCCAAGACACATCGTCCAGGCCAGAAATGTCCTGGGGAGGCGAGCAGATGGATGGAGGGTATCTGAAGCCTTTCCCCTGAACCCTAAGCTCTCTCTCTCTCTCTCCAGGTTGGCCCCCCCCCCGTAGAACAGCCGCCCCGAAAGGCGCCCTTTGTTGCATCCGGTCTTGGGGAGGAGGCCCCTGGACCCTAAACGCACCCTAAACCCTAAACCCTAAACCCTACACCCTACACCCTAAACCCTAAACCCCAAACCCTAAACCCTAAACCCTAAACGCTAAACCCTAAACCCTAAACCCTAAACCCTAAACCCTAAACCTTAACCCAAAAACCCCAAAACCCACCTGGAGGCTCGGCAGCTTGGAGAGCCAGAGGTGCAAAAAGCGGAGCTGGGGCATCACCTCACATGCGCCCAGACCCACACACGCCTAAAAACCCCACACCCCCCCAAAACCCTGGCTGGTTTGGGGTTTAGGGTTTAGGGTTTAGGGTTTAGGGTTTAGGGTTTAGGGTTTAGGGTTTAGGGTTTAGGGTTTAGGGTTTAGGGTTTAGGGTTTAGGGTTTAGGGTTTAGGGTTTAGGGTCTCAGGGTTAGGTTTAGGGTTTAGGGTTAGGGTTTAGGGTTGCCTCAAAACACAATCCCCCAAAATCCGAAAATAAATGCTGTGGCTTTGTAACGGTTAAATAGGTAATATACGAGTCTCTTAAAAACGCTTTCAAAAAACAACGCAGCCCTTAAAGCCCCAAAGCCCTTAAAGCCCCCCTAAACCCCTGAAAAGCCAAACCCCTCAAGCCCCCTTCAAGCCCTCCAAGCCACCCATAAAGCCTAGGAAGCAAGCCCACAACCCCAAAATCGCCAGAAACCCTAAACCCTGAACCCTGAACCCTGAACCCTTTTTTGCAGCTGGGGACTCTTTGATGCCAGGCAAATCTGCTTAGCAGCAGAACGCTTCTGAAAGCTGTGAAATCCTGAACGCCCGAAAAGCTATGAAATCTCTCGAACTCTCTCAATGTGCTCATCTGATACAACAGAGACACTCCAGACCTGATGATATTCCTCCAGGGCTCGACTTGCCAGCCCCACGACACCAGGATAACACTCATACAGAGTCTCGGTCATGCTAATTTCAAACACCCAGAACGGATAGCGCATGCGAGCATAGTGACCCTGAACCCTGAACCCTGAAACCCTAAACCCTAAACCCTAAACCCTAAAATCCTGAAGCAACCCCGACTTGAATTCAAACAACGAAAAGCCCCCCGTAAAACAGCCCCAAAAAGCCCCACAAGCCGTGCGCAAAGTTTCTTCCAAAAACCTTGCTGTCCCAAACCCGCCAAAAAAATCACGAAGCCCGACAATCAACAAAAATATCACAAAGCCCGCCTAAAACCTCCCCTACCAAACCCTTCAAAAGCCCTGTAAGCGCCCCCTTGTAACCCTAAACCCTTAACCCTAAACCCTAAATACCCTAAACCCTCACCCCCAAACCCTAAAAACCTTAAACCCTTAACCCTTAACCCTAAACCCTAAACCCCAAACCCAAAAACCCGAAACCCTACAAGTAGGCGCCTTCAGGGCCGCGCCCAGGCCGCGGAGGTTGCGGAGGGTGCGGCAGCCGGGGAAGCGGAGCCTCAGCTTCATTTGGCGGAGCGTTTTAGGGTTTAGGGTTTAGGGTTTAGGGTTTCCGGTTTCGGGTTTAGGGTTTAGGGTTTTAAGGGTTTTGGGGGCTTAGGGTATGAGTTTCCTTGGGGGTCTCCCTTCATGAACACAGACCTCAACCAAAGTTGGCCCCTAAACCCTAAAAACTAAACCCTAAACCCTAAACCCCTAAACCCTAAACCCCAAACCCTTCTTTTGGACACCCAGAAGCTTGGAGAGCCCTTGGGGTTTCGGGCTACCAGGGTTCAGAGCCTAGGGCTTCAGACCTCCCAGGTTAAAATAGAAAGTCGGGTGGCTTTCTATTTCAAGTATTTTCAAGTATTTTGCGGTTTAGGATTTAGGGTTTAGGTTTAGGGTTTAGGGTTTAGGGTTTAGGGTTTAGGGTTTAGGGTTTAGGGTTTAGGGTTTAGGGTTTGGGGTTTGGGGTTTCGGGTTTGGGGAGGGTTGAGGGTTTAGGGTTTAGGGTTTAGGGTTTAAGATCTAGGGTCTAGGGTCCAGGGCCCCCTGCCCCCCCACGGACCACCAGTACCATTCTCCTCGAGGAAGGTCTTAACGCACAGAGGGGCTAAACCCTAAACCCGAAACCCTAAACCCTTATATTTGGTTTATTTAAGTACCACGAACCTCCAAGTAAACCCAGTAATCCCACCTCAGCCAGGTGTTTAGAATTCCTCGCGGCGAGGTGCCCGGAAGCAAACCTAGAATGAGAACAGGCCTCCCATTTCAACCGTTTGGGGTTTAGGGTTTAGGGTTTAGGGTTTAGGGTTTAGGGTTTAGGGTTTAGGGTTTAGGGTTTAGGGTTTAGGGTTTAGGGTTTAGGGTTTAGGGTTTAGGGTTTAGGGACTTGAACTGGCGCCAAGTAACTCCAGATGCAGTAGGGACGTGCGCTCCGAGAGCCTGCAAAGGCAATGTCGGGACACACCCCTAAACCCTAAAAACCACATGAAGCCCAAAAAGACTGCACGGACCCCAAAATCCAGCACTTGGGGGCGAGTCTTGTGCGACACACGCATCTCGAAACTCGCTGGAGGGTTTGGGTTTAGGGCTTCGGGTTTAAGGTATTCCCCCACCTTAAAACCCCAATACCCTAGGCCCCAAACCCTAAACCCTAAACCCTAAACCCCAAAAAGCCCCGAACCCCTAGGGGCCCTCCGACTCTTTCAGAGGCACGGCTGCTCCAAGTCATCCAGGTGATCAAGCCCCGTGAAGCCCAGGTCCTGAGCGCTGAGGCCCAAACTCAGCTGGGACAGTTTCAAGACCCAACAGATCCCCAGGAATTTAAACAGGGTTTTCCGGTGTAGGGTTTAGGGCTTAGGGCTTAGGGTTTAGGGTTTAGGGTTTAGGGTTTAGGGTTTAGGGTTTAGGGTTTCGGGTTTCGGGTTTAGGGTTTAGGGTTTAGGGGTGCCCCTTGTGGCTTAAGAAAAAACAACAAAGAGGAATGAGGGCCCTAGGTTTTAGGGGAAGGGGAAGTCAGGTGGTTAAAGGCTGAAGTTGAGCATGACCAAGCCCTAGGGTTTTTTGGGTCCTGGATTTGGTACAAGGCCTAGGTGTTAAGGGCTGAGGGTTTAAGGGTTTAAGGGTTCAGGGGTTAGGGTTTAGGGTTTAGGGTTGAGGGTTGAGGGTTTAGGGTTGAGGGTTTACGGTTTGGGGTTTAGGGTTTAGGGTTTAGGGTTTAGCGTTTAGGGTTTTGGGTTTAGGGCTCACTCAAGTCGAAAAAAAAAACCTCCTCTTCCTAGCTCCAAGTGACCAAGCGCAGCACCCGCAGGCCGATCGGAAGGTGGGACACCAACGTCAGGAGATCCTGCCCCAGACAGGGCTTAGGGGTCTTCAAGGGTTCAGGGGTTGAGGTTTAGGGTTTAGGGTTTAGGGGTTTTGGGGGGAGAGAGGGATTTAGGGGCTTAGGGGCTTAGGGGTTTCGGGGTTTAGGGGTGGTTGGGCTTAGGGTTGAGGCTAAGGGCTTAGGGCTTAGGGTGTAGGGGTGGGGTGATGGCGATGATGGCTGCAATAAGGCATCAGCACAAAATGATTTTGGGTTTGAAAAGAGCTGGGTTTCGACGATCACTCCCGCACGAAGCAGGCAAGGTTCTGGGTTTAGGGTCTGGGGTTTAGGATGCACTTTCAGCTGAGAGTTCTCCATCTGTGCAGTTTGCTTGGCGTTCCGAGTCCGAGCCGCGGACCTTCAAAACTGAACCCCTTTCTCCATCCGGGGGCTTGGTGAACCCCCTAAACCCTAGACCCTAAACCCTGAACCCTCAAACCTCTCAGGGCTCACATCTGAGACGAGTCAAGCGAGGATTCTGTGTCCGCCAGGCAAAAATCGGGACTTCTAATGGTTTCAAAGCTGTTCTTGAACCAAAACCAACAATGACAGAGCAAGAAATGCTATTGGTAGCAGTCGTCGTCGTAGCACAGCACGTGGCAATAATAGTTGTGATGACAAATTGATTTGACGACTAGCCATCATATGTAAGAACTATCATAACAACAAAAATAGCAACGAAACAAAAAGAAGGCCAACAATACTGCGAGTAGCAACCATAACAAAATACTAACAATGGGAAGAACACAATAACAGCAAAAACAAACGATGCCCATGAAAAGTGTTGGCCTGATTTAGAACCTAGGGTTCGGGGGTTCAGGGTTAGGGTTTAGGGTTTAGGGTTTAGGGTTTGGGGTTTAGGGTTTAGGGTTTAGGGTTTAGGGTTTAGGGTTTAGGGTTTAGGGTTTAGGGTTTAGGGTTTAGGGTTTAGGGTTTAGGGTTTAGGGTTGCTCCTGGTTGGTGAACAGCAGCACCCCAGTGAAGGAGAGCTGGACCGTCTGCCGGGACGTATCGGCCAGGAGGGCGCGGGCAAGCTTCTCCTGACCTCGGGTTCAGGGTTTCGGGTTTCGGGTTTAGGGTTTAGGGTTTAGGGTTTGGGGATTAGGGTTTAGGCTTTGGGGTATAGGGTTTAGGGTTTCGGGTTTAGGGTTTAGGGTTTAGGGTTTAGGGTTTAGGGTTTAGGGTTTAGGGTTTAGGGTTTAGGGTTTAGGGTTTAGGGTTTAGGGTTTAGGGTTCAGGACTTGTCGAAGGCACCCGGAGCGACTCCCAACAAAAGAAGGGCCACACAAGGTCGAGCCGAGGCTCCCCAGCTGTGGAGGATGGAGTTGCACCACCCGGCGAGGGCGAACCTGAGCGGAGGCTTAACTACTATCTGCTTAAGAACCCCAAAAGAATGAAAAATTGCAATCCCTGTATTGCCCTTCGTAAGGAAGAATATGTTTAGTTTTTTGGGGGGGTTCTTGAGCAATTAGGGCTCTTGGGGTTTAGGGTTTGGGGTTTAGGGTTTGAGGTTTAGGGTTTAGATTTGGGATTTAGGGTTTGGGGTTTGGGGTTTGGGGTTTGGGGTTTAAGGTCAGTTTAGCGTTGCCAAGCAACTTGTTTACTTGAGGCCTGGATCTTTAATTGCTTCTGTCCTTTATATCGAAAGCACAGGGGTCGCCACCCACATAAAGCTTCAAGCAGGGGCAAAATTTGGGTTTCGGGTCTCACGGTCTGGAGCTTAAAGGCTTCAGGGGTTTAGGTTTTGGGGTTGAGGGTTTAGGGTTTAAGGCTCAGCATCGGGGGATTCATCTTTGGGCCTTTGGGGTTTAGGGTTGCTGCAGGGTTTGGGCTCCGAAGGCTGGGGGGTTTTCGAGCTTGTCCCTCCTGGCAGGCCAAGGATCTGGGCGGACAGCGCGTTGTTCACGTTCGAGTACTTGATGTGGTCCTGTCCAAAGCCCTTCAAAACCCCAAACAACCCGGCGAACTTCCCCAACGTTCCTGTCCGCAAGAACAAGCTCCTGCTGCAAGGTTTAGGAATCTGAGGTTTGAGGTTCGAGGTTCGGGGCTTGAGGTTTGGGGTTTAGGGTTTGGGATTTGGGGTTTAAGGGAAGCCCTCTTCTAAACACCCCCGGAACTCACTGCTCCTCGGGAGGTTCCTCTGAGAGCTTGTCGATGCACGCAGAGGGGTCGGCGATGCTGTTCAGAATCCGCGTCCTTTTGGGGGGCAGCTCTACACCTTTGGACCTTCTTAGGGTTTCGGGTTTAGGGTTTAGGGTATAGGGTTTCGGGTTTAGGGTTTAGGGTTTAGGGTGTAGGCTTTAGGGTTTAAGGCAAAGCCAGCTTTCCCCCTCCTGGGCCCCCCTGGCCTGTCCAACTCGTGGCTGGCCGTGGCCTCTAAGATGTTGATGGAAAGGCCTCACAGGGTTGGGGGTTTGGGGTTTAGGGTTTAGGGTTTGGGGTTTAGGGTTTGGGGTTTAGGGTTTGGGGTCTGGGGTTTGGGGTTTAGGGTTTAGGGTTTAGGGCTTGGGGCTTGGGGTTTAGGGTTGCATTGTCCCTCCTGCACAGCTGGGGTTTAGGGTTTGGAGTTTAGAGTGGTGGGCTTAGGGCGCTTGAGAGAAGTCGTGACACTTTCGGGTTTTTTTTGCCACCTGCCAAGCAGACAAGGGTTAAAGACTCAGGGTTCTAGGCGTTTGTAGTTGAGGGTGAAAGCTTCGTACAGGTAGGCATCCGAAGGGCCTCAAGGGACGATAAAGGGGCTTAGGGTTCAGGGTTTGGAACACCCAGAGCCTCCACACTGCCTAAACAACTTCTTATTGTTGGCTGGTATGGGCTGAGTAGTACTCATAGTACTCATAGTAATCAGAGGGCATAGCCCCATTCCTTCATCTCGGATGGGCAGGAAGTCGTCTGCTGCCCCCTAGGGTGCATGGCAAACTACATCTCCAAGGGTTCCACAGAGGGTACACCCCTAGAAGGGCCTCTCCCGCTTTTTTTTTGGAAACGCGAAACCCAGGAACCCTAAACCCCAAACCCCCAATCCTAAACCCTAAATCCTAAACCCTAAACCCTAAACCCGAGTTGAAGGCCGGAGGCCTCTCTCGAGGATGTTCATGGGGAAGGTGATCTCCCTGCAGGTCTTGTGGTGGAGGCCTGGCCAGCTTTGGGCCGCACTTGAGGCTCTAAGGGTTTAGGGTTTAGGGTTTGGGGTTTGGGGTTTGGGGTTTGGGGTTTGGGGTTTGGGGTTTGGGGTTTGGGGTTTGGGGTTTGGGGTTTGGGGTTTGGGGAGGGTTGAGGGTTTAGGGTTTAGGGTTTAGGGTTTAGGGTTCAGGGTTCAGGGGTTATGCTCTTTGTCCCAGGCTTTCGCCGCTCTGGTTCTCCTGACTTGGCCGCCAACTTTCCCCCGAAATAC